CCATCATCACCGTCGTTACTGTAGCAATCCTGCACTTGAGGCTGTTTCTCCGATGAAATGTCACAATGGCTATGAACTTAGATGCCACCAGGGTAGGGCAGGGTTTGATGATTCAATTTGGGAAGGTGCTGTAAACAGAGGGTGGAGCTGGCTCAGGAAAATGAAGAAACTTCAGGTGAACACCCTCTCTGAGTCAGTACCAGTCCCCCAAATTACCGCCACCCGTCCAGCTGGTCTCACCAAGTACCCAAAGTATGGTGTGGCCCAGTAGTCGAAAATGGTGAAGGGGCCTCCCGGGGTGGGGGGGTGTTTGTTTTGTTTGCTTGATTTGGTTTTGGTTTTTCCAAACAGGATTTCTCTGTGTAAGAGCCCCGACTGTCCTGGAACTTGCTCTGTAGACCAGGCTGGCCTGGAACCCACAGAGATCTGCCTGCCTCTGCCTCCCGAGTGCTGGGATTAAGGGAGTTTTAAAACTTGAATCCCGTGTCTCTTTGATGGAGTAAATGGAGCACACATTTGTTCAAGTTGTAAATGTCTGTTCTACTCTGTATAGTAAGCTGGTGTGGTAACTGGGGGACTGATGGCCCTAGCTAATGCCAGCTTGCCTAATGGTCAAGTGGCTCTTCTCCCCCTCCCTCCCCTTTCACTCAGCCCCCTCCCTCCTTTCCCCCCCTCCCTCCCTTCTTTCCTTTCTTCTTTTTTTGAGACAGGGTCTCACTACGTAGCTCTGACTGTCCTGGAACTATGTAGGCCAGGCTGGCCTTGAACTTGAGTGCTGGGATTAAAGGTGTGTGTCACGTCACCCGCCCCCTTTCATTCTTGAACAAGGGTCCGTGGTGAAAGAGAGGGTACCTGCTGCTCAAAAGAGGGGTGCTGCTAGAGACTAAATGGGTTTCTGCATGGGTGGAGGTAGCCGGCATGAAAACTGGGGTCCATGGGAAGGAAAGGGGTCTCCTCTTGGAACGGTAGGCATGAGTGGCATCTTGGTTTTGGGGCCGTTGCAACCATTAGGAACTTGCTCAAACCAACAGACCAATGAGACCAATGAGAACACTGGGGAAGGGGCTGGGAGCAGCCTTGAGAAGGGCGAGGGCAAGAATAAGCCCCTCGGACCTCTCCCAGGACTATATCTACCAGAGGCAAAACCCTCGGCATCCATTCAGACAGACAGACACCCACAGAGGCTGCAGCTTCAGATGCCCACATACGTTCAGAAGTCCTCTGAGAGGACCCAGGAACAGCGTCGTCTCAGCGGCCACCAGCACATCCCAATCTTGGCTTCTGAATATGACATACCACTGAAGGGAGCCAGGACCCTCTGGAGAGATGACTGATCTCAGGACCCGGGAGGGAGGACAGTAAGCCTGGGATATTTGTGCAAGAAGGTAAGGAAGTACTTACTGCATGGTGGGGGCCTGTTGAACAGACACAGAGGCCGGTTTGAAGGGGCTGTCACAGACCACACCTGGGACAGTCAGGTCAGGGCAGCAACAGATGGCCACCTCAGGTCTGCACTGTGGCAATTGGCACCAAGTACAGGATATTTGCTACTTTTTAGAAAGGAAAAGGATCATGTGATAGTGGAGCAAAGCGGAAGCGGCCTTGCCTTACTCAGATGATGAAATTAAGATCTGAGCCCACAGCCGGGTGGTGGTGGCGCACGCCTTTAATCCCAGCACTCGGGAGGCAGAGCCAGGCGGATCTCTGTGAGTTCGAGGCCAGCCTGGGCTACCAAGTGAGTTCCAGGAAAGGCGCAAAGCTACACAGAGAAACCCTGTCTCGAAAAAACCAAAAAAAAGATCTGAACCCACGACAGTGGCGCACACCCGTAATCTCAGCCCTCAGAAGGCAAAAACAGGCAGCTCTCGGTGGGTTTGAGGTCAGCCGGATCTACATATGAGACCCTGTAGAAAGATTTTTAAAAAAGCCAGGCAAGAGTGGCACATGCTTTTTTAATCCCAGCACTCGGGAGGCAGAGGCAGGTGGATCTCTGTGAGTTTGAGGCCAGCCTGGTCTACAGAGTGGGTTCCAGGACAGCCAGAGCTACACAGAGAAACCCTGTCTCAAAAATCCAAACCAAACCCAACAACTTCAGTAGAGGACCACTGAAGTCACATGTGTCATTGTGTCATCTGTGGGTACCATGAGGGGACTCAGCGTGCGGCAGCTGTATTGTGAGACATGGGACCTGTGATCCAAACGGAAGACCTCAGACAAACTCTCTTCAAAGAAACTGCTTGTTCTCTTCAAAGATGTCAGTCATGGGAGTCAGGAAAGACTGAGGAATGTTCCAGACTGATGGACACCAATAGACAGGACAACCACACTGCACGAGACACATGATCCTGGGCCGGGACCCTAGACACAAAAGACAAATCGAGACTGCTGAGTGGTATTCGTTCCCTGCTGTGGGATGCCTTTGTTTGGAGAGAATGAGCATTAAAGTATTTTAAGATAATTTCAGTGACAAGTTATAAGATAAATTCAGTGACTGGCAACATTTTTGAGAATTTAAGATTGTGGGGTTTTTTGTTTTTTGTTTTTTTGTTTTGTTTTGTTTTGTTTTTTTGTATTTTAACTGTCTGGCACTTGAGAGGCTGAGGCAAAATTCGCCTAGAGTTTGAAGCCAGTGTGAGCTACAGAATTGATGCTAGGCCAGTCTTGGCTATACAGTAATGCCTATCTCAAGAAAAATAAAAAATAAAAATAAGCCAGGCAGTGGTGGCACAGGCCTTTAATCCCAGCACTCAGGAGGCAGAGACAGGCGGATCTCTGTGAGTTTGAGATCAACCTGGACAAAGTGAATTTCAGGACAGACAAGGTTTCTCTATTACAGAGAAATCCTGTCTCAAAACAAACAAACAGAAGTAAATAAATAATAAAGGGAAAAAGAAAAGAAAAAAGAGAAAATGAAGAAAAGAAGGAAGGTGGGGAGAAAGAAAAGGTAGAAAATATTTTTTGTGTGGCTTATGAAATTTTTAAGTAGCCAATATGTGAAAAGTGATTCTTTTTGAACCAAAAAACTAGGTTTTAGACTTGGTTTGTGAAAAATGAACACCCAAGGACAACAGTTGGTGAGTTGAACAGCATAATAGCGTCCTTCAGATGGATTGTGTGACCCTTAACTTTCCAGTCTGGGCCCAACTGCTCAGCACACCACACACAGCCCATGGCACTGCCTTGCCAGCCTTCACCCTCCAGAGCTGTGGGAAGACAAGGGTCAAGTGGAGAGCAAACACTTTCAAATGAGTAGGTGGATGGACAGATGGACAGATGCATGGAGGGAAGGAGGGAAGGGTCGATGGATGGATACATGGGTGGATGGAGGAAGAGAGGGATGTTTGGGTAGATGGGTGGATGGAAGGATCGATGAACTTTCAAAACACCACAAACCCAAACGCAGGGCCTGTCTCAAGGCGTCAAGTCATTATCTTAAAGATCACCTTTCTTGTGCCACACGTGGTCTTAGAATGGCTTGGCTGGGATGAGCAGGTTGAGAAACCAGGATGTCATCTGATGCCAGAGGCCCCACGCAGGCTGTTATCTCTCTGTGGAATTGATGGAGGCGTCTGGAAGGTAGGTGGGGTTCTGGCAGAGGTGGAGCTCTAGGGAGACTGCTGTAGCTTTAGTAAGATTGTATCTTGGGATGCCCGAGGCAGTGAGGCTGGGTGGGGTGGGAACAAGCTGAAGTTGGTGGCTTGGGCTCCTATCCGTTGACAATCTAACTTGATGGGGCACGTCACAGTCTGTGTGAGCAAGAAATAATAATGGTCCTATCTCTCCCAGCCCGTGACTTCCTGGTTCCACTGGGGGTCACACCTGTGGTTTGGATCAATCTCTTTTGTCACCTGACCCCTGAAAGGGTAAATTAAAATCATTTAACAAGGTCTAGCATATGCTTTTGTGACACAAGTAATCTCTCACTGCCCTCATAAACTGCAAAGTCTTTACTGCACCCCAGCCCCTGCCCGCCTTCCCCATCTCAGTCCTAGCACATCTCTTTCCCAGGCCCACTCCTCACAACTCTCTGGTTCCCTGCGCACACCATTATCTCCCTCAATTTAAGACTGTGCTCGAGCCCTTCCGTCCCTTCAACTCTCAGACCAATGTCACTCCCCCGAGAAGTGCTGGCCGGACCCCATTCTCTGTCCATCCAATTGCCTTGCTTATTTATCTAGGGACAGGATCTCTACCCCAGACTGGTCCCAGGGCTCCTTAGGTGGCCAAGAACGACCACTTCCCGGGCGCTGGGGTCACAGGCACGCACCATATCCAGTTTATGTGGCGCTGGGATGCAACGCAGGACCATCTGACCTACACCCCCAAGCCTGCTTTGTTTTATTCACCTACCAGTCAGCTCTGAAACTATTAATGTGCGTGTTGTGCTGCTGCACGGAGTCCCGACTAGACTGCTCGCTCCAGGACAGGAAACTTAGCTACATGGTCACTGCATCCTCGGTGCCCAGCCCTGTGAGCAGCGGCCGCGCAGAGCAGGACCCTTGAATATTCAGTGTGGGCGAAGTACCAGGCTCTCCACGGCGAGGGATGTGGGGTGCACTGAGCTCTGGGTTTTAGGGCACAGCAGCGAGGTTGGATTGTGGCTGCGGGTGAACCCGGGTGCTGCGGCTGCGGGAGGCGTGAGCCTGGGACCTTTGGAGGACCCCGGATTGGGAAACAAGGCCCCGCCAGGGGGGTTGGACTGTAAGCGGGTCGGGATCAGAGCGACACCGGCCAGGACCCCAGGTTGGGGACCGAGGTGACCAGTGACAGGCGGGCGGTGCAGAGCCTCACCTGGGCGCGGCTCACCTGGTGCCCGCCGCCCGCGCTTCCGCTAAGCCCCGCCCCCGGACCAATGGCAGTGCGGCGGCGGGGGGAGACGGGCTCCCATTGGTCAAGGGGGCGCGGTCGTGGACGCCTATTGGTAGAACCCCCGGAGGGGCGGGGCCGAGCGCTCCATGGCTCCGGCCTGCGGGCGGCGCTCGGCGCTCGCTGAGAGGCGCGGGCGGAAGTGGCGACGCTGGCGTCCCGGGAGGCGGCGGGCGGCGACAGCCCGGGCGCGGACGCCCTCGGCGCGGGCTGGGGCATCACCAAGGGCCTCGACCCCGAAATGGCGCTGCTGGCCGAGCACCTGCTCAAGCCGCTGCCCGCGGACCGGCAGATCGAGACCGGGCCCTTCCTGGAGGCGGTGGCCCACCTGCCGCCCTTCTTCGGTGAGTCCCCGGCAGCCCTTCCCACCTGCCCAGACCTCTCTGGCCCCTTCACTCCCTTCAGATGCACCCCAGCCCTTCTCCACCAGCGCTCCCTCTCACCCCTCGTCCACCCCCCCCCCCCCCAGAACATTCCTCACTAATGCACCAGGGGCATGCTGCACCAACCCTCCCCCGGCTCCCCGGAACGCCTTCCTCTTCGGCTTCATTCCCCCCCCCCCCCCCCCCCGTCCCTTTCAGAATGGTTCTCAATTCTCCCCCAGACCCTTAAAAGGAATCAGCCCTCCCTTCCCCAGATCAAAGACCACCCCCACCTCCAAGGGCTTGAAGATGGAGCTGCAGAACTCAAGGGCGCTTTTCAGAGGAAGTCATGCAAAGATTTTCCTCGGTCTAGGAAAGGGGTCAGGAGAAGGGGAGTGGGTGGGTCGTGGGGGTGATGTCAGCGGCAGGGTGCTTAGCTCGAATCCCTCCCTCCCTCTGGCTTGGAGAGGAGGGAGTCCTTCCTCCATATGTCAAGTTGAAGAAGCTCTTAGGAGCGTTAGCCTGAGTCCCTCCCCCCCCCCCCCACCCCCGTCCAGTTTCAGACCCTCTTCCTCCCCTCCTCCAGCCCTGGTCTTGTTGGAAAGTGGAAGGAAAACCGATGCCGCCTGCCCTGCCCTTTGCCTTGCAGTCCACAAAGGGTGCAACCTGAGCTTTCTTCGGACGCTCCCAGTGCCCTACCCTGCTAGCTCATTTGGTGACTTTGCGGGGACGACACACCAGCCCCCGGGGCAGAGTCCAGTTGAAACCCACACTTGGGCAGAGCCTTGGCGCTCCTTAGCCTGAGGAGGTCGTCTGACAGCCACAGCGTCCCTTGCTTGGCTCATGGAGATGCTTAGGACTCGGTGGGAGCAGTAGTTCCCACAGGGGCTGTGTGGCCATGTGGCCATGTCGATGTGGACACCGGTTTTCCTCTTGAGCCTCAGAGTTCCTGTCTGTGAAATGGAGGTGCTGGTCTAGGCTGGTTATGGGGGATAACCGCTTGTAAGAGCTGATGTTTGCTGTGGAGAGGAAGCCCTGGATGAAGGTCTTGAATCTAATTTTGGGCCCTTTCCATAGATGTCTGACAGGTGGCGTTAACCCTAACCCTGAATGCAGTTGTCTGTGAGAGCAGGAGCGGTGACCTAAGAGCAGGCTCTTGGGCTCCCTCAGCTGCTGCTGTGCCCCAGGTGTTCTGAGCATGAGCCAGCAGGTACTCTGTCAAACCTGTTGAGTACATGGGACCTGCTTGTCATCAGTATCTCAGCTGGAGATCTCAGTATCTCTCCAGGCAGGGAGCTGCTGGCTTTAGCTTTGATTTTTATGACCACATTATATTTTTTTAAAAATAGATTTATGTATTTTCGTGTTTGCCTGCCAGGGCCTGGAGGACACTTTTCAGAAGTCAGTTCTTACCTTCCGCCAAATGGGTCTTGGGAATTGAACTCAGGCCATCCAGCCTCACAGCAAGCTCCTTTCCCTGCTGAGCCATCTTGTCAACCCTGACAACTCTGTGTTTTGTGTGTTTGTTTCTTCCTTGGTTCTCTGAGTAGTTGCTAGTTAGAGCCAGCCTGTCCTGGGTTTAGAAACTACTGGAGCCGGTGGTTCTCAAGTGAGGGCCACTTTGTTCCTGAGTGGGTATCTGCTGGTGTGTGGAGGTGGTTTTGTTCTTTGGAGTTGAAGGGGTGGTGCTGAATGCTACAGGGCACTATCCAGGTGCTTCTAGACACCATCAACACCCAGTCCCAGCACTCAGAATGCTGCAGCCCTGTCAGTGGCTCCATGGTGGTGATGGCATGGCTTCCTTGTCTTCACCGGGGTGGCATGTCAGCTCTGCACTTGGGAGCACCCCTTGTGGGTATGAGCGTCTAGCTGCTTTGGGAGGAGATGGGAGGAGGCAGCTGGAGCCAGGGCAAAGGAGTGTCCCTCCCTCCCTGCTCCTGGTCTCAAAGGACCCTTGTCTTTGCTGCCATCCAGGGCTGTGGATGTCACAGCTGTGGACAGAAGCACCATTTAGACCAGCGCTTCAGTGGAGTTGGCCTATGAAGGGTTAACTGGCATGGGTCACCCTAGAGCCATTTATTGTTCACCAAAGAGGGTCATTCTTGGCACCTGCATAAAAGAAAACGTTTTGAAAGTGTTCTTCCTGGGTGGAGCTTTCTCCTGTGGACTCAGGTTTCAGGAGGGTTCTCCCACCCTGGCCTAGGAGACCCACTGTCAGCTGTAAGTGGGGTCTTGGTCTACATCTTTGGAGTGTCCCCAATCACTTGGATGAACCGGGCACAGTGTGTGTGGCCCTGGACTACGGCTGGTCTGGAGTGATGGCCACAAGGAGCCTCTCAGGCATTTTGAGAACAGATTTTCAAATCAGCAAAACCCAACGGTGACTGCCATTAATCGAGCATTTACTAGGTACTAAGGATCTAATATGGATTAACTGGTTCACTTAATTCCTTCACAGACATTGGTTTTGAAACCAGGGTCTTGTAGCTCAGGCTGGCTTTGAATGAACTATGTAGCATGGGCTGGCCACAGTTTCCAAGCTGCTGGGGTTCTAGGCATGTCCACCATACTCAGTTTCAGGAGCCTATTGTTTGTTTGGTTGGTTTTCTGTGCTAAGATTTCACTCTGTCCTGGAACTCCCTGTGCAGACCAGGCTGGTCTCAAAGGCGGTTCTCCTGCCTCAGCTTCCAAATGGCTGGCATCACAGGTGTGAACTACACTCTTGGCATCTCACAGCCTTTCTGTTTTTTGTTTGTTTTTTGATTTTTTTGAGACAGGGTTTCTCTGTGTTGTTTTTGGTGCCTGTTCTGGATCTCACTCTGTAGACCAGGCTGGCCTCGAACTCACAGAGATCTCCCTGGCTCTGCCTCCCGAGTGCTGGGATTAAAGGCTCTCAAAGTCTTTTGAAGTAGGATTTTTGAAGAACAACCTCTGCTGTCACTTCAGAATATTTTCTTTCTAGATTCTTCTTTCTATATCTTAGAGAGAGAGAGAGAGAGAGAGAGAGAGAGAGAGAGAGAGAGAGAGATGTTCAACCTCATTTTCCTTCTAACTACACAATGAGATTGTCTTCCTACGTCACTTGTCATATCCACAGTGGCTTAGGCTTCTACTACTTGAACGTGGCCATGATTTAGCAATCCCCTCATGCTGGACCCCCACATGGCTTCTTACTTGTCGCTGTGGTAGACAGTTCTGCTGCCAACATGGCCAGGTCTATTTCTCCTGCATCCTGCATAGTTCTTCGGGTGTTTCTCAACTTTAGAAGAACTTTCTGGATCCAAGAGCAGGAAGGCTTCGGACCTGTTGGAACAATCTCCTTAACTCCTCAGGGTGTGGCCTGGGATCATCAGCTGGGCTGGGTCAACACTGATTCTCTCTGCTCCTATGGGTGTGGGCCACATGGCAGCCTGCTCCCCTGGTTTGCGGCACCCCGTGGGGACTCACCCCGCCTCTGTGTCTCCAGCCTGAATTCTTCCACTCATGCAGGTCTTACCACGTCCACTCAGAAGCTGGTCCTTCACCCATCTTTTTTCTCCCCTCTGACCCAGTAATTGGATCTTCCCGGCTGATCGGTTACAAGGCTGACCTGTGACTCCTGCTCTCTTATCTTTCAGGTCAGTTATGCAGCTACTCTAGAGTCCAGGAGGCCTGATGGCCCTCGGTGGCTAGAAGCCTCAGTGGTTCCCTGTTGCCCTCTCCTGAAATCTCTGTGGCCAGCTCTCTGAATGACTCCCAGCCCACAGATGGCATTGTGCCACTGTCCCCAGAGCGTTCCCTGTGCCAGCCTTTCTCCTCACTCTGCATACCACTCCACTCACTCACCCACACACCTCCTTCCTTTTGTCTGGCTGGAGTCCACAGGTCCTTGAGGAATTGGCCTAGCTCTAACCCTACCCAGAAAGTCTTTCCTCTTCCCTGTGGCTCCTAGAACCCATTGTGTCCTGTGGTTCTGAATAACTTCAGTGCCCAGGACACTGTGAGCTGCAGCATTTGCTGAATGCATCCTTTTTTTCTTTGCTTAGTTTTTTTAGTATTTTGAGCCCCTTTGTAGCCCAGTCTGGCCTTGAATTTGTGACACACCCCTGCCTCAGCCTCCAGAGTGCTGGCATTACCAATCTTCACCACACTTGGCTGCATGAAAGAGGTTTGGGGGGAGATGTTTGCTTGCTTGTTTGTTTTTTCCATTCCCATTCTTCTAGGTTCTTGCCAAAAATGCTTGGCTTTTCTTTCCATATTAAAAGACATGATCAAATCAGAAGCCATAACCTCTGTCCATCCTGCACGTGTGACAGGCATTACTAATCAACCACACTTCTGTTTTCCCTCTGAGCATAGATACAGCCTCAGCATATTTCTCTTGGTCAGTTAAAGTCGGTCCATGAGGTGACTTCTATGACGACTCTTGGCTGTCATTGTCTAAGGAAAAGCCCCAGATGGAGGAACCTAGGGCCATGATTTCTGCCCCTCACTTCTTGAGGTTTTAATGCTGGGACCCATTTCCTTCATTTGTGACTCTTAGCATAATTACATCAGTATCCTTGGGATCTGCGGGTACCTGGCACTCAGTAAATGTTCCTGAGTCTGAAAAGTGGCTCTCTTCCTTTTCCTCTGCTTTAGTGCCTGCTCCATTGAGGGTGGGTGGCAGTGCTACTTTAGAATCTCAGAATCCTCTGCTTCCTGCAGCCCAAGAAACTGAGGCCAGAGAAGTTATAAAACTTGCCAGGGTCACACAGCCATCTGAGTCACCCATCTACCGAGGCCAGAATTCAGGCCTCTGGACTGCTCGCACAGTGCTCCTGGCTTCCTGTCCAGTAGAGGAGAAGAGCCCCTGTAGAAACAGCCTGCTGGGCCCCTGCAGAAGTCCAGTAGCTTCGCTGCATAATAGTGACTTTGCCACATGGCAAGTGGCCTGGGAGCTGCAGAGTAGATGCCCATGTGTCCCTCTAGGGGACCTCTGTCAGCCACCCTCCTGCCACTCT